ATAAAACAATTACATATGCATATATAGTTTCATATTAAACTCAAATCTTATAATTAGACATAGCTCATACCAGGGCTGTGAAGCTGAATTTTGGCGACTGCACAGCCCTGGTTCAGACTCCTTTACTCTGCAATATTTCAGTTCGTATTTCTAATATTATAGAAATACCTTGGCGTAAATATTTATTATATAATATATAGAATGATATATAATATAATAACATATTCAATCGTGTGTGCGTCCTTTGTTTAAAATAATCTAATATTAGCAGCAAAGTAGGTACTTTCAAACTATCCTCGTCCAATAATAAGACTTAATAATTAGTCTAAAATTCATTTGGATTAATAGCTAAATTATTTGAAATCAACTAGATACTTAAATGATTTTTCTCTGTGCTTTTAATTCGGTAAATGGAATGTCACTCTTAAATACGTTGAAAAATCCCAATATAAAAAATCACTTTAATGTACTTCTTTTTTATCTAACTAATAGAAATAATTCCAAAATTATATTAAGGGTAAAAAACTATTTCAATCCAAAATTCTATAAATTTGTAATTACACAAAAGTGTAATCTAAGAAATATTAAGAGAAAAAATTGTCAATTTTGAATATTAGATAGAAATATCTTGAGTAACTTAATCGCTTTTTAAGGATTCCATAAAATTTGGTAATAAATTATTCCAATCGAAATTTTATTGAATATAATTTCCGATCAACGAATGAAAAACTAATGTTTTGTTATGCCAATCCTATCTTCGGTTAATTTTCAGAATTTAAAAACAAGTTAAACAATTATTTACAAAAGTGCTATGAAAATTAGTCGGTGATAAAACTGAAAAAATGAACAATTTTCCAATAATTTCTAAATCATAGATAGAATCGTGTTAGGTTTAGCTTTTAATCGTTCTTCCAAGAAGCTTAAAATTTGTAATAGCTACATTTTCAAAACTTTTTAGCATATAAAAATAAATTTTAACAAGTTTCGTTCTATTTCATTTCTTCTGTGATAATATTTTATTACAAAAAGTGAACAACCGTTTATTCTTACTTTACAAGCTGCCATGTGTTTTACAAAGTGTGTGAAAATCATTTGTAATGTAGTACCCAATTTGTAATAGATATCCTTCAAGTTTATAAATATCAAAGAAACCATTATAGAAAAGTACTTGGAATAATGTTTCCGATACCTAATAATATTTTCCCGTTTCTGAAGTGAACAGGGTTGGATTTAAATTTTCATTTCGGCCTGAATCTTAAAGACTAAATTTTGTTTTAATTTTAGCCTTTTAGGTACTAACGCACTTCTTCATTATTGCAATTGTTATTAATTGCAATTTCAAAAGAAATATAATATTACAATTACAATTGTAGACCCTGGTTTAGTACATTATTTGACAAAAATGTACATTAAATATAAATAATTATTTTTTAATAATTATTCTGATTGTGAATGCATTTTGAAGGGACGTTTAATAAAATACTGACGTCAATGGAATATTTGCAAGTATAAAATAAGTAGCAAAAAATTGAGCTATGTAAAAATAATATTTACACAGGTAGATAGCAACAATAATATGTATTAATATTAACTAATACGTATTAGTATGTGAACATACATGTATTAGAAGCATACAAATATTCGTATACTTACATGTATGTTGAAAGTTTTCAAAGGCCATATATCAAATATAAATTAATCGTGAGATTTTTTAAATAATTTTTGCTTTTATATAAATATTCAATTAATCGATAATTTAATGAAAAGTAAAATACAAGTACGTTAAAATAAAAAATAAATTAATAATAAAAGTTGAACGTGAAATTAAAATTTTAAATTAATACCATTGCAAAATATATAAATTATTTCATCAAAAACGAGCAAAATTTTGTTATTTATTTAAATTATATGTAACAGGGATCCACAATCGTTTGTGAATGCATTTTCAGAATTAAACCTCTCTTATTTAAGGTAAGGGTCACTATTAATTAATTTGATATATAGCGTTTGAAAAATTTGATCATTGATCTAATTTATATATACATATTCATATACATATACATATACATATATATATATATATATATATATATATATATATATATATATTAGATAGGGATACAATATAATTCTATTAACTAAAAATTCCTATTGCCTGTCATAAAATTAAATATTTGCTTAAATTATGTCGGTGGAAAGAAATAATACAAAGAGCAATACTATATCTACGAATGCATGTAATTATATATATATATATATATATATATATATATATATATATATAATCATGTAAGGTATCTGATTCTTTTTGAACATTATTTTGTATATCGATATACATACGTCCATGTACATTTATTTTATCAACGAACAGAATGTTAAGTAAAATCTTTTGTTTTGTACTAATAAGCCAAAATAAACACAACTGTGCCCGTACTTAAATATATAAAACAAAATTAATTTTCAAAAATTAGATAAAAATTGGCCAACCAATATACCTTCATTTTCCATGCATCCATATACATAGAAATAACTCATACATTTGTTGTTTAACTTTATAGGAAACAAATTTTGTTTGGAATAGATTTCTAAATTACTCGCCTAAGCTTGAAAAAATTGTGTTTAGTATTTTAACTAAACGGTTCGAAAGCAACTATATGTATAATTTTAACTACTGCGATAGAAAATATGCATTTTAATAAATACATTTATTAATTTAGAGATTTATTTATTATTACTTATGTAAATCGTACATAATTTCATATAGAAAATTATGCCATACAAGTTTCTCGTCAAAAAAAACTACATTTCCAGCACCCATATTAACAAAATCGTCGAAAAAATATATTTTCCATTTAAGAATCAAATTTTTTCCGAATGTTATTTTAAAATACAAAGCTCTATAAATATATAGATATAAGCAACATTTTTACTATATCATTTCACAGTACGCCTGTGCCAAAACTGCTTTGCCAAATTTCGATTTTACGATTTTTCTGTAAACGTTCGGAAAATTCAATTTGAACTAATATGGGCTTTTAATGTGAATCGATAAAAATCAAGACGTGAGATCAGTGAAAGACTAAATTTATCAAACTCAACTGATTATGACCTCTATAATCATTGATTAATATTATTTAATACGCAGAAAAACGTAAATTATTTTTGAATAACCCAATATTGTTAACGAACAAATTTTGAGCTAGGTGAAGACCAAAATATCGCTATGTGTGATAACTGCGACAAACTAATTTAACTAATAAAGTCTTAATCTTAAATAATTATTTTAGTGTTATATTTAGAGTCCCGAAACTAGCTGTAAATATTACTTAATACACTAAATAGCAAATAATGTAACGTAGTATAAAAACTTTGGTACTGAAAGAACGGCTATATACCTAACTAATATGATACAATTAGTTACAAATATACAATAGTTTATATAACTTTAAAATCACCTAACTATTTATCTACCTCGATAAAAATTACTGTTGAGATATTCTAAAAATAACTAGTTTTTGTTATAGATAAATGCTGTAAATTTAAATTCGTTATTAATTGTGTCAAAGGCAGAACAAGTCAGAAATGACTGAACTTGGATTTAATTGTAACTAATTTTACAACCTTTGTATTTATCTAAAATTTTAGCAAAACCATTAATAAATAAGCAGAAAATGATGAATTTAAAAAAAAAGCATTACGATATAACCCGTAAATATCGTGATTATCGTATAAAATAGTAAACAAATATGATTTATTTGTTTGAAAAGAAACGGAACAGTACTAATACGTAATTTTGGGCGTTTAAACTTCAAATATTACTGGCGCATAAGAAGATTTTAAGCAATATTTATGTTATGCAGAACAAAACAAAATACATAATCATGCATTAATGATGATTATACACGCAGATTTTGTTTAGCTAAATTACCTATATTACGTAAAGCTAAAAGCAAAGTATGAAGATATATATATATACATATATACATATATATATATATATATATATATATATATATATATCTTTGAATAGTTCTGCATAAAAAATAGTATACATAAAATACTTCAAATTGCATTTCCATACATAATAAGATACACTAGACACATATAAAATTGAATGTTGACAAAAGTATTTAGCACCCTTAATTTTACAACAAAATTTATGTCGATAATATCATCAACATTGTCTTAACAAATAACATTTCTCAAGCATATAATGCTATAATTTTAATTTTGCGCGTAATTAACTACTTATATAATAATATGCCCAAATAATGCAGTTTCTTATTAATAATTTAGTGATCGGCGGTAAAAGTTCTCAGCATAAGCATTGTCTTCATGGAAATCAGAGTATTGATACTAATCCTGATATCTTTAGGTTTCATTTTAGTAAGGTAAAACGTCGGCTAGTCGCTTTTACATTAAAAAACTGTATGAACGTATCCAAAATTTATTCAAAATCCATACGTTTCGGCTAACATCCTAGCCTTTATTCAGTGAAATACACTGTGAAAATTTGGTTTCTTTATATTACAATTAATGTAAACACTACAGACGCACATAATGTATATGTTTTGACATTATAACATTCTCATGCCATAGAGCTAGTGTTCATATTAATTGTAATATGAGCATGCAAAATTTTGACAGTATATTCCACTAAATAAAAGCTAGGATGTTAGCCGAAACGTATGGATTTCAAATGAATTTTTAGAGCATTCATACAATTTTGTACAAATATTTGTAGATTGTACAAATATTTGTATATATTGTACCTGATATTAGAAAAAAATTGTTTCTGTGTATTATGTTCAAAGCCAGAATTTATTACCGAGAACTTTTACCTTTCCATCAATCATAAGTAAAAATATTGATCTGCATTCAATCAAAAGATAAGATGCTACCTTCATTTACCATATACATTACATTATCAAAATATATAATTGTATATATATATATATATATATATATATATATATATATATATGTATGTATAATATGCACACTCACATAAATTTTTCTGCAAGCTTGCAAAGTCCATTATTATCATCGAATGTGTTTTACTAGAAGTTCATTTTTTGAATGTTCACTGAAAACATACATATTATTTTCATTCATTCATAGTTAGAACGCGTTTTTATTATATGCCACAATAAGTAAATGCTTGAAAATCTAATAAAAGTTTTTGATACCAATATTAATAAAGCCTTTAAAAAATCAATAGAGTTACCTTGTGTTAGCTCCAAGTGATATCATATCCCTTCCAATTTGGTGGAGGTGCCAAATACACTCTTCTTCCATTATAAAAAAATGAAACCACACCTCGGTATCCCATCCTAGGCACGCCACTCTGCAAATTATAATATGGTAATTATTATCCACTTCCACTATAAAAAATTTATAGAAGTTACTTTAATTGACATAATCATAAATACAGAAATTAATTAATTTAATTTCTGGTGTCCAACTAAATAGTGCAAAATGATTAAAAACCAAAAACATTGAATTTTGATTCTCTATTATTAAAGATTCATATTACAACTATAAATTAAAATATTAAGACACCAATTTGAGTGTACAATCTTCAATTAATCTTCAGTTAATTCTTTCAATCAACAACATACCCTGAAGTCATCCATTAGTCCTAATATCTTGGCAGTTCTTTTATATATGTCTTTTGTATGATATGGAATTCTGACAGGACCTTCATTCACAATTTGATTTGACCTTAATTCACTGTATCCAACAACAGCACTCGTGTATACCTCTTTAAGAAACATCACATCATATTTATCCTAGAAATGTGTAAAAGAAATAGAAAGTATAAGAGATATCATACATATAAATATGAAATTATAATTAAAATTCATAAATAATTCTTACCTTCATTAAGTATGTAAGATTCATACTTCTAAATGGTACAAATTTTTCATTTAACTTAATATACTTTAAGTGTTTTTCATAGAACAGTCCACTGAAATAATAAAAACATTTGTTTGCGTTAATACTTTATAAATATTCAGATTGCTTGAAACTTCAGAAATTAATACATACTTGGAAACCCCAAATTTTCCAAATGTTCTTGTTCTTGACAATTCTGGCCTAATACAAGCTCTTTCTTTTCTTTGCTGGGGTTGTCTTATCCAATCATCCCAGTATCTGCAACAACGTTAAATATTTTAAATTTGCGTACATATATTATGATTTTTTATATTATACATTACAATAATATTATTAAACAATATTTTATGATAGATATTAGTATAGGGCTTCTTACGATTTTGGCCATTTTGGTGCTAACTCCAGCCACAGATCTTTAGTTAACATCCAACCCAGTCCCGGAAAAAAGTCAGTCCGATATAGTAATGTGGAAGCATCATTGTCTACTAAATCAGCTTTCCCATTGTCATTCCAAGCAGAAACACACCTAAAAATAAAATTTTATATACAATACGAAAGAACTGCTTAATAAGTAAAGTAATAGAATTATTGTGTGTTTGAAATGCAAAAAGTACTAAAAAAATACATTATCTTGCAGACGAATAATATAAAATTAATTAATAGTTTTCAGCTATTACACAAAAATTGTTCATAATGTTGAATTCGCACAAAATAATCTACTTAGATGAGTATTATGCACACACAAATACATTGCTTACCACAATGTTTTATCTTTCTTCAAAATGGGATATGTTCCCAGAAAATATTCAAAAAAGTCAGGTGCTATATCCAGGTCATCTATAAATATAAATACATATATTTAATCACACATTTATCAAAATTGATTTCATTTTTGCCAAATCAATACAAAATTACATATAATACAAACCTTCAACAATTATAACCGTATCAAAATTTAATTTGAGAAATGTGTGGTTTAAAGCCCATCCATAATGCCTTGCTATCTTAAAATATCCCTTAAACTTTTTTTCTTTCGGAGGAACAGCTATTTCAGATTGATCTGGTTGTTGAATATATATAAGTTCATCTCCATATGACAATATAACATTTCTGGTATCCTCATGGTTACAATCCTTAAAATACATAATTACTTTTTACAATAAAGATGCCTGTCACTAATACATGATATTGTTCTAGATAATTATCAATGGTTATAGCAAATTCTTTGATATTAACATTCAAATCAACTTACCTGACTGACAATTATTGGAAATTGCTCTTTGCTGGGTCTATAAAGAATTAATTGATCTAGGCACTTCTTTACAGTAATTCGATTACAAGCAAACACAAGGACAGGAATAACTGGATCTAAAAATTTATGATTTAGCTGCTTGTCCTATATGTTTTTATCATCGCTGTACTTACATTGAAGTGTTGATGTTGGTTTTCCAACTTCTCCTGGATCATCTATCTTACCACCTTTATTTTCTCCGACTTTGCCTGCTTTTTCAATAATTTTTTTAATACCATTTATCAATTTTGAGTTTTGCTCGAACTCTTGTTTCAAAGATTGCTCCAAATCGGATAATCTCGAATTTATGTGTATCTTAGGCACGTCATAAAACTCATTTTTTGTCATTAAGTATATTAGGATTGTTGACGCTGTTGCACAAAGTAAAATGGCAAATATTGTTTTTATACGCATTGTCAAATACTTGACTTCGTGGAGTTTCACTAGGTATAAAATATCAGGAAAAGTTTAATTATAAATATAAACAATTTCTTTCAAAACATAACCATTGTGTAAAAGTTGTTTAACCTCAAAAAAATATTGCTTCGATTGCATTATGAGACATTATTTTCACAGCGTGATTTATAAAAATAGATGTGATATAATTAAAAGTCATTTAAAAAAATATTTTAATGATGATGTTTATCATTTTTCTTAATTGTGCAATATTCAATTGATATCAATCAATTTGACAGATTTGTCGATGCCAACATAGCAAAAATGATACGGCATGTCAAAATATAGTTCACACGGTTCACAGCTATCTTATACTTGTTTATCTATGGTTCACAGCAATCATCACAGTGAAAATAAAGGTCGGCAGAGTCCCATAGAACTGTGCTATTTGACTTTCTAGGATTAGCCGGGAGCTTTATGAATCTTGTGCATGCGTGTACACGTGTACAATACAATTGAAAAGTAAACTAGTGGTGTATGGCATCGTGCCTTAATGCAAATTGCTAGAACCTCCCGCACCGTAACAAAATGTTCGAAAAACATTAAATGTTTTCAAATAGATTATTATAAATACTGTATCATTTTCTAATATTTATAGGAATTATATAAACTGAATTGCAAAGTTAAAATTATTTCTACAAAGTATTTAAGTGAGCTTTAGAACTTTAGCCAGAATTAAAATTAAAATCTGAATTATTTTCAATATACAGAAAAATTGCATAAAAAAAGAAAAATATTTTCGAAATATTTTTTTTTTCCAAAAGCATTTGTTTTGTCAACACAAGCAGAAAGTTCTTAGAATCATTCGAATCGGATGCTTAGTTCTCTCAAAAACTGCTATTTTTTGAACATTTAGCTCTGTATCTTCAAAATGGCTGGACCTGCCTTTGCCAAAATCTAGTCACCACTTTTCCCAATTATTACAAATTGAATGTTTTTTAGATCATTTAAATCAGATACTCCGTTTTCTCAAAAACGCGATTTCTATTTTCTGCATTCTTTGCTCCGTATCTCCATAACGGCTGAACATGCATTTGCCAAAAACTAATCAGCACATCTCCCTATCAATAGGAATTGAATGTTTTTTGAACCATTCAAATCGGTTAATCCAAGCGCCCGAAAACGTGGACAAAAACTGCAGACACACAAAACACATACACATCACATCCATTTTTTTGAGGTATGCCAAAATGTTCAGAAACCTCCGAAACGTGAAGATATGCAAAAATTTTAATTTTTGATTTTCAACCCATTACTATAACTTACCCGACGGGAAGTTAAAAAATGATAAAACTAGCTGTGGATGGCATCGCGCTTTAAGGCAAACTGCTGGAACTTTCCGTACCGAAAATTAAAATTTTCAACAAAGCTTTAAATGTCTTGAAAACTTTGAGAAAATAAGATTAGAGGATTTCGAATTTGTCGAAAAAAACGACTGTTAAGTTTTATTTTGTGTATTTTAAATTTTTTTGAAAATTTTGAACTTTTTTTCAAAGCAATTGCGCTGCGTAGCTGTTTTAGAGACAAAATCTCGAAGCGAACAACCGCCATATTGCAGTCAAACGGATAAACATTGGTACGGAACCCATAGAAATGTAAACAAAATTTGTACTTAATATTAAAATCTCTATAAAATATCTGATAGTTTGATGTACATATGTCTAATGAAAACTGAATTACCATTTTTAGCACTTTTTCCCCGTATCTTCAAAACTGTTGGAATTGTCTCTGCCAAAAACTAAACAGAACGTCTCTTTATCAGTAGAAATAGAATGTTTTTTGAATTATTCAAATCGGTTGATTTGATGCGTGCATACGTCTCTATGAAGAAATTGTTTTAAAGAAGTTAACAATTTCCAAAATATTTCAAAATAAAGAGAACCTTTTATTTCAAAAAGTTTTTCTTCCAAAAAGTCAATTTTTTCAAAAATTAAAAACTTTTTAAAAATCGTTTTTTTTCAAAGTTAAAAAAAAATTAATCATTTAAAAAAAAAAAAAAATTGGTACGGGAAGTTTCAGTAATTTGCCTTAAGGCACGATGCCATACACCACTAGTCTACATTGTCTTTTTAAGTGGTTTCTCTTCTTTGAAGACGAGCAGAATATTGCCTAAGAAACCGAGGTTAAAAATTCAATTAGATGTAAAATCTATTTAATATACGAAGAGTTGCTATAATTATATTCAAAAGTATTTACTCTCTTATCTCTGGTATTTCTGATAATTTTTCAGAAATCACAGGAATGAAACAAACATGAAGCGACATTCCAATCGTCGTCACCAGCGGCGCTGCCGTAGCTGGCATTCTCTATTATAGCTTTCTATTCTCATCTTTGGCCGTGACGTAATGCGTGTAATGTGTTGTGGTTGGCTTCGTAGATTTTTTGCTTATCACCTTCGGCTCTAGGAAATTTTGTCGAAGGAATAATTTTTATGTAGGGTTGTATTTTGTGTGAATGTTTGTTTTGTGAGTATCTTTTGTGTATTTTCTGCCTATCTCTGATAATTTGGCAGAAAATGGAGAATTCTGGTAGTGAAAATAAGGAGTTAAACTTTGGGTGTGGCAGTGAATTGCCTATACGTGAAGAAATCATTTTGGATGTGCAAACAACTACAGGAGGAACATTTTATATATCAGTTGATAATTACATCCCTATCGAGGAATTGAAACGATTAGTTGCTCATAAATTGAGAGTTTGTAAAGATAAGATTTCTTTATTACACAGGGAACGGTAAGTTTCTTTATTAATTCTAGATTTATTATTTATGGACCCTTTCGTTCTTTGTTCTTCATTGCGCAAGTCTAGCTAGTGTCATTAGTTACCAATTTTGAGGTCATTTTTTGTATCCAAGTGAATTAAATGTGGAATTTATTCATTAAATAGTGTTAAAAAAAACAGCTGTGATTTGTACGCGTAGGTAATATCATTGACACCATTACCACGCATTGAAATGTTGCTTCTTGAAATATTTCCTACCTTTTTTTTAAAAAAAATAAGGTCGTTTATATTTGTTTAATTTTATGTAGTTGTTTTACTTTATAATTATTATTGTTAGTAACAACTGAATTTTGTTTGATAATCAATTGTCAAGAATTTCCATTGTTTTGATTTAACAATTTAATGATAAATGAAATTACTGGCGAACTATTTCATTCATTATGTTTAAGAAATATTTGAATGTTTGGTTAATGACTCATAATAATATCTGAAAGTGTATCTTAGTCATTTACAATATTTATGTATGATATATATTTGCATTGCACATGCAATCTGCTCTTCTACTTTTTGTTATATATATATATATATATATATATATATATATATATATATATGTATATATGTGTGTGTATAGCAGTGTGTTTAAGTCTTGTGTAGTCGTAACATCTACAAATATCCTCCAAAAAAAATTGAGTGTTTTTAACAAAAAATATTAGTGATTTGGATATATAAATTACTACAGAATAAACCTGATGATGGAACGTACCTAGTTCCGAAACGTCGTATTAAACTTCTTCAAAAAACAAATTGTTTTTTATTATTGGATTTACTGTTCGGAAAAGAAACAATCAATATATTGAAAAAATCCAGGACTTATCTATTGAATATATATATATATATATATATATATATATATATATATACGATATATATATATTTATTAATATATTAAATGTTAAATATGAACAATACAACACTCAGATTTCTAACACACGCTTTATTTAATAATTACAGACGATTCGAGACCATGGTATGCTTCCTCTTCATTATAATTTCAAAACAGTAAAAATTATATACTAATACATTATTTAATATTTTATTTAAATCATATTTGATTTTTGAAAAACAAAAAATACCAACTATCTCTTACAATGCTTGACATAGTACTAAACATGTGAATATATATAGAAATATTTGAAAACAAGTTTTAAGTGTTGAAGATGAAGGGACAAGGTTGGATATACTAAAGCATACCAAAATCAACAAATGTGACAACAGATTAATTTATTGAAGAGAATAAGATAAATGAATGAAAATGGTGAACAGAAAAATGATAAATTATTAATGATGTTTATATAAGAGTCGTGTAAAATATTTGTGTCGGTTCTCAGATTTATGCTATTGTTGGTCCGAACTAGTAACATTGATTCTGCCATGCTCTGTTTAAATAAGTCTTTTTCATGGAATAAGGTTTGGGGATTATCAAAATAAAACATATGGTTTTTAATATTAGCATGATCCAGAAGCGTTTAAATTTTTTATCATCTATTTTTTCACATTGTAATCCTGTTTGTTTACATTATAATAATATCCATCCTTGTCCCTTCATCTTCGACTATTAAGATTTGGTTTTAAATATTTTTGTATATATTTACATGTATAGTACTATGTCAAGTGTTGTAAGAGATAGTTGGTGTTTCTTATTTTTCAAAAACCAAATACAATTTAAATAAAATTTTAAATAATGTATTAATATATAATTTTCACTGTTTTGAAATTACACTGAAGATGAGGCATACTATGGTCTCAAAATGTCTGTAATTATTAAAATGTGTGTAAAAAATCTGAGTGTTGTATTGTTCATGTTTAACATTTATTATTCGTTCGACTCATATCACAAAATTCTATATATATATGATTGCGTATGTGTGCTTCATTTTTCATTATTTATTCATCATGAATTTTTAGCATATTTACACATGACTAGTTATAATTTTGTTTATGCAACTAAGATATTTCAAGTATGAAATATTTGCTTGATTATTTCATAAGATTAAATTAAATTAGCTTATTCATTTTATAAATGAACAATTTTTTTACCAGGATTTTGCAAAGTGGTACACTTTGCGCAAATGGCGTGATGGATGGTTCTAGAATTGTGCTCTTACCAAATGTTGAAGCTGGCTTACTTGTAAGTTATGAATGAAATATTTATGAGAGTGACAACTCCTGAACAATTTGCTTAATATGTTTTGTCTGTTGTAATTTTCTATGACCGACTATGCACTTAATGTTGCAGCTGTTTGGTATATTGTTATAGTATTTTATTCAGTAATACTAAAATATCAAGTAAACTGTTCATGGGCTTTTACTCTATATATTCTAATAGAAACTGGTTAGATAATTACATGTATTAAAATTTATTTTGTAGACGCATAGGTCTGAAAATACTGTGATGCATGCTTTGGAATCATTGAATGAAGCACAAGTGACTGATTTTTTAAGTGGGAAAGCACCATTAAATTTAACCATGAGACTAGGTGATCATATGATGCTAATTCAACTTCAGCTTAGCACTATGAACCCTATTTTGTGTTCTACTCCTGGACTCAGTCCTGGTCAATCTCGTTCTGATAGAAGATTTACTAAACCTAAACCTGGAAGCAGTCTTCTTAAAAAACATATAACACCAATAAGTGTTCCCAAAGAAATACCTTGTTTGTCTCCAAAACTGGATTGCTCTGAACATTGTTCATCATCAGTGATTGGATGCGCCCATGAAAGTTTGGCCTTTATATCCAGTCCAAATATTGAAAGCACACAAAAAGCCTACAATGTAATTAAAAACTATACAGATATTGACCAATCTAATAATGAGGAAAGCAATGATGTTGATATAGTATCATCTCAACCTTTTGACGGTGTGTATAGTGTACCTAACTGTGATATAAGTACTTTCGAGTCACCTGATTTAAATCAATCGCCGATAAAATCTCTGTCTAACTTGGTAACGAGTCCACATAGAGATAGCACTATACAGACTATTCCATTGGCCCCTTTTGAGACTTTAAAAGTTAATTCTCCTGGAACTACCAGTGACAATATTATTGAAGAATGTCGAGACCCCATATGCGAAAATTTAACTTCTTGTTTGTGTAGTTCTCTTCAGAATGATTCAACCAGTTCATCATGCAATTGTCAATCACAAACATTTAGTGCAGATACGTCTTTCACTGAAACAAATACAAAGAAACAAATTGAATCGAAATATAAAAGACTTAGCGCACTTCTTCACAAAACAGCAGGAAGGAATGTAACGAAGAATAAAATTAAACCCAAAAATTTGATGGTGGTCAAATCAGATAATGGACGAAAAAATACTCTTAAACAAACTACTCCATCTAGTTCACGTAATGAGAATTCTATGAATTCACTAGCTGAAGCTTCCAGAAATTTAACAAAAACCTTAAAGAAATTGTCTAAAGATGTTCTGACCAGCAACAAAGATGTGACAGAGTGTTCGAGAAAATCAGGAGCGGCAGTTATAGATTCTATGAAGCATCATGGAAAAGGAATATATTCGGGAACGTTTTCTGGGACACTCAATCCTGCATTACAAGATAAATTTGGCCGCCCCAAGCGTGATGTCACTACAATAATCCATATTCTTAATGATCTTTTATGTTCATCACCTCAATATAAACAGGAGGCTAGAATATCTTTTGAACCTACAAATTTAACTGCGACTCCTCGAATTTCTCCAAAACAGGTAATTAATCATGTCTAATTTTGTGGCTTTGCAAAAGTATTTTCTTGCATCATACATTTTATTTATGGACTATTTCAAAAATTTAAGTCATTTGATGTATCTTGATGAGGACTATTGTTTGTCAGTTTTGTGCGACGATCGGCCAAGCCGTTTCTTTATAAATAGCAGAAAAGTGAAAGAATTTTTATTCACTTTGTTTATTAATGATCGACTTTGAAAATTCAAAAACCGTTTGAAAGATATTGGTTGGGAATGGTGCTTATTAGTTTTTGGTAGAGATCGGACGGGCCGTTCTCTTGTAATAAAGTGTTAAAAAATAATTTTTTCGACGATTTTTATTATGTTTTTGACGGTAGATACCATAGTTTTATAAATCATACTAAAATATTACGGCCCTACGACAACTCGCTTAATTTTGAAAATTCGTCAAAGTTTGCAAAAATTAATATCGTTTTTTTGGCAATTGTCAAAATTAGACCTTTCATCGACGTTTCTTCAAAAACGCTTGAACCGATTTCAGAAATTTAAAAGGCATTTGATGTATCTCGATGAGGATTATAGTTTCTCAGTTTCGTGCGACAATCGGTCGAGCCGTTTCTTTGTAATTTAGAAACATGTGTTAAACTTTTCGTCGACATTTAAGCTCATACTACCAAATCGATTTTAAAAAAACAAAAACTGCTGGAGTTACGATCTTTATTAACTTCTTCTGTTTAAACATAGTACATACATATATATGATGTTTTGCACTTGTACTTCCTAGCAAGACCTGATATTTTTCAATAATTTCTCGCTTTGATTTAAGAGACATGGACTACATGGTAAGTCGGAGTACCACTGTACAAAGAATTCGTAGTTTATATTTGGTTTACTATACAGCAAATAGTAGTAGGTATATATGACTTTGCTGCCTACTTATAATAATCAATTTCAGGCACCTTCTACTTCAGTTTCGAAAACATCGCTGGATGTCTCTGATTCAACTGAAGAAAGTTCTAGCACAAATACGAGTACATCCAACGATGAAAGCAGCAGCAGTACGCAGACACCTACCTCATTGTGCAATTATGGAGAGTGTGACGGTCATTATTCGTCTACTAGTATTTCTCCGAACCGTTGCTTGAAAAGATGCGCTCCTCCGCCCCGACGTGATGAATACGCTTTACCTGCCAGCAACATATATTATCCACCTCGTATTTTGTCAAAAGAAAATTACATGACCAAATGTAAAGTTCAGCAATTAAAGTTAATTATGCAAGAGCGTAAGCAGCGACGTGAGTTTCGTAAGATGAAATTAGGTCCTTATACAAATCCTTGCTCTCTTATAAAGAGCGATACTAAAGTTTCTGCTCCGAAAACTGTAACTAGTTCGTCACTGTCTGATAGTTCTGCCGAGGAAATTGATACTTTGGTTTAGTTTGTTATGTAAATAAATTAGATTACTACAATTATGGAATAAGTTAAAAAAAAAGAGTACAAGTGTTTATTAACTACTATAGATTAGTGGTCTGTTCATAGGTATAAAATTTGTTTTTACTATAAGTTGCGAAATATCTCAGGGGTCTGTACGACGATATTTGTCAAAGATTATTCCCCGTCGCATTCTAATAGCCTTTGAACTTCTCATACGTACTTTATATAATACTACCCCGCGATTACAATCCATATTTTTTTGCGGTGTACCCCAAGTAGTATATTGTTTTTTTTTAATGAATGTTTTATTAATATTTTTACGTATTCTTTGTTGTGATGAAAATATTGTCGTGGGTGACTTCCATTATCTTTTTCTAAATTAGACATGTGAGAACTTTTACTTGACGTTTCAAATAATATAAAGCAATTTTACAAAAAACTTAATAGTTTAGGAAAAGATATATGCGATGCATTTTATAGTATAAATTTATGAATTATAGTTTTATACAAACATACTTATATATATAATTATGCCTCAAACAAGTTTAGGTATCTTATAATTTCTAATGCATTTTAAAATGCTGGTTAATATATTCTACAGTTAACACTAGTATTGGGTCGTTCTCACACAAATGCTATTAAAAGGATTTATTTGGTATTTCGTAAAATGCTTATTACAGTTCAACACTTTCTTTATATTCTAATTTATTTTTGTGTTGTATTACTATTTGATTATATCTTATTAAAAGCGCCGGCAATTAATTCTTTGATGCCTTCTAGATATTTATGGAAATAGGTTAAAGGTTAATACTGACGTTTTACTGCTGAAATTTTTAACTCGCTTTTACTGCGAACGAGAGCGACTCTTGAATATGGCTTATCGCAACCGTACCCGAATATTATATCAAAATCAGTCTTATGTATTAAAAAAATATTGGCATTGCCGTGAAATTGGTTATTTTCTACCTTGGTAGCTGATTTGATTAAATTTAAATTTTATATATTTTTTTTATAGATTTGTTAATAAATTCTTTGTTTAATCTTGCCACATATAGGTTCAGATTTTATGTTGTGATCATTTAAATGTTTTTATAACTCTTCCAAGATGAATATTTTACATGTGTGATATATGTTACAAGAACAGTTGATATTTTTTTTCAACACATCTCATAGTCGTTATATATTACAAAATATTATTAGTAGATTTTTTAAGTTTGTTCTTATTTTGTTGAATGATATTACAGAACTATAAGGAACATAGTCATGCAGTATATTTATAATAGAATTTATACAAGATAATTGAAAATGTGTGAACAAATCGTAGCAAAGTATCATTACAGAATATGATAATTTTATGGAGTTGATTCATATTGAATAAATACATTATATTGAGCGAATTGTTTCATTCAACTTTCTTGGCGTCAAAACTTATGTGACTAACAAGATTTGATATGATAATGGATGAAACTAGTCCTGCATGTTTGATTTTTTTTCTAGCCCCCGAAACGAATAAAATAATAATAATAATGCGATTCGAAATAATAATAATAATAATGCGATTCGATGTAACTCGATAAGGACTAGCGTTGGTTAGTTTTTCGAGACGATCGGCGGAGCCGTTTCTTTAGGATAAGCAGAAAAGTGCAAAATGTTTTGTCCAAGTTTTTGCAAAAATTCCGAACCTATTTTGTTAATTTAAAAACCGTTGGAAAGATATTAGTAGGCCAGGTCGTTTCTTCGTTAATTGAGATCATGTTTGTTTGCATTTTTAATGAAACTTACAGTGACGATAAAGTTCGTGGTCTAATCGAGTATCCCAAAGTATTATAGTCCTAAGAAAAGTCGTTGAATTATAAAAATTCATTAAAAGGCCGCGTTTTTAGAACTTACAAGCTCGTTTTGGTGCGCAATAATTAATTCAATTACTGATTTTACACGTTAGTTTGAAACATCAATTTATTTAAAATCGCACTGTGATTAGAACTTCATTTTCGAAATAAACAGTTGAAAATTTTATCTGAAGAGCTCAATCTTAATTATTATTGATTAAGTCAACCATTTATACATATCGGAAAGTTTTTGCAACTTACCTCAAGCCAAATGCCACTTACACCTAGTAAAAATACCTTTCCTACTAAACCAGAGCAGATATTTTTTAGCTCGACAAGTTAGTTCTAAGGGCGGCAAAATCATAACATTGCTGAGTTTACAAATTAAGGTCATAAGTGAAATGCAGATGAAATGTTTACACATATTTTATTTTAAATGTAAGTAAACTTAAAGTACATATGTTTCTGGTATCTTACGGACTATAAAAAGTAAAAAATATACATGGCTACGTTTCGCAATAACACAATAATAAGTAATAATACTTTTGCTAATTTTACTTAAATAACAGTAATCTGCTAAAATTAAATGTTATACATATATAATTTATAAACATCTAAAATCTTGAAATTTTCATGTTAATTTTTAAATTATGATCTAGGACTTCAAAAAAATGACCAAACATTCATTTATTAAAACAGAACTAATTACGATGGTTGAAACTATTTAAATTGTAGTGTTATTTGCTTAGAGCATAACCACCGCGGCCACGGAGATCAAAACGGCGGTGAGAGTAGCTACCGTGTTGATGGGAGCCGAGTTGATTTGAGGGCATTCTTGTGGACGTGGCATTCCCAAATTCTTGCAAACGGCCATAACGAAGTTAGACTCTGCCAAGGATTGTAAGTTGCGATCGTATTGCTGTAAAATTAGAAATATAGCATTAAGAAATTAAATATTTTTTCATAATATTAGTTGATCAACCCTTTCACAATGAGCGTCGCCTATAGCAGACATCCGCATGACAACCAGTGTGTGCGAGTATCGCCTATAGTCGACATCCAGTGTGTCAATATTTATCACTTTGCGTTAAGTTATTGAGAATTCTAATGTATTATTGTTATTTTTCGGTTGTTAGAAGTGTGATTAGTTAATTTTTGAACACATAGTTTTATTAATAATGATTTTAAAAAATCTTGACATGTTATTTAAAAATTCTTGGACGCCATTCGTAGAGAAATGTGTTTTATCAATTTTAGGCGATTTGTATGTCATTTGTACCGAAGGAAATTGCAACCGACAGAAATTATGAGATTTTAATTGTCATGTAGAAAAATTTCTAGACCTGATATTTTATAATTTTTATACTTCGTGTTCAGTGGTAAAGAATACATCGGAAAAAAACTGTTTTTTTTATTTTGTAGACCTGTGTAATTAACAAAAAATATATGGTATGCGATGTTGTAGTTAACATTTTCAACTGCCCGTAGAGTAAGTTTTAGTAATCGCAAATGAAATTTTTTATATATCTTTACGTTTCAAAGGTTTCTGAATATTTTGGCATACTTTAGAAAAAATGGATGTGTGTGGGTGCGGATACAAATTTTTGTCGACGATTTCGGGAACACCGATCAACCGATTTGAATAGTTCAAAAAACATTTGATTCGTATTGATAAGGAGACGACTGATTTGTTTTTGGCGAAGGCAGGGTTAGCCGTTCCGAAGATACGGGGCAAACAATTGTTTTGTTATATAGTTGTCTTATCTAGTTGTGACATAATTTTAACATACTCGATTAGTATTTGTTTGGCTATTTTCACTTGAAACCATATTTTAGATCTATAATTTCAATTAAAAATCTGATATCATAACTGCTTGATATCAAGTTGCTCGAAGAGTAACCAGTGGTTGCTAATTCGGAGCTAAAAACGGCTTCTTGATAAAAAAAAAATGGTGTAAAAATAGGAATTTTGACAGGGTATTTCATTTCAATTTTGTTTACATTCGCAACCGTACCCGATTTCTACTTGATTTCTAAAATTGAAAATATACGCATTTATATATACCAAATATCGTTTGCAAAGCTGATATTAACGAAATATCTTTTCTTCTATTCTACATTTATATTAATATTGTCTGTTTGCTTACCGAATTGAAAACAATAGTTGGCACTGAAGTCAATGGTGGGCTCAGTTTGTGTGTTTTTTCACCATAGGAGGCAAGTAGAGAACTTCCTTCTGTTCCATTGGCGCAGTTTACAATTGCTTCGTATTGTTGGACTTGATGTTTCTGGGCACACTGTTGGGAAATGAAACATAATGATAAAAATATATTTCTTGAATTAGATTGATGTTTTTCTTTAATAATTATAAACAATAATATATTTACCACTACGCTAAAAGTAATTTAATAATAAGCTTTCGGCATTGATTGAACATTAATTATAAAAAAAATAATTGAAACCATTAAGTAGTTATTATAGTGGTAGAAATACATCCGTAATACATTAAATGTTATCGTACAATGGGCAGTCAAGTATTACTAATAAGTATTGGTTTCATTATTATCGATAATATGCGTTCGTGTATTAAATAAATGATTATATATTAATACTTAAAATGCAAAGTCTTACAGGATATTGCAGGTATATGAAATATGACAGTCATCACGTTGAAATTGTTATAATATATTCAGGAATAATGCAAAAATTAAATTTATTGGTTGTAATTTAATATTACTTTTCCACCTTTATCATAATATCTGTGATCATGTTTTTTTTTTATTGAACCAGTCATGTAGCAATACTATTGCACTACGAATTTCTGTTTAAAGTGGATTTAATGTAGTTGATTTTTTTAATGATAAAATAGAAGTGTAATTTCATTTCTTTGTTACTGAAAAATATCAAGTAAAAATTCGTTCGTCTAAATTATAATTCTGCTAAAAATCTCCTAATAATTACTGGTGGTGGATGGTATTAATTAAATTTAATTATTATCACACACTAAAATTAAATTTAGCGGTTGATTTTATTTACTCTACTTTTATTATATTCGCGTTTTGGATACAAGATTTGTTATGCATATATTATTTTTAGGACAATTTTAAACACAACTTTAAAAAAACAATATATTGTTTTACTGAAATTGGCAATGCTAGTGTGAATTTTTGTTTGTATAACAGGCGGATTACATGGTTACTCCGGGATTTGTTCTAATCTGTATTCTTTAGACCTTGTTTTGCAATTTCTGTAATAGTGATGATTTTTTTCTTGATGCAGCAATGCCTGGCAAGGGCTATTTTTACTTGGAAATCTATTGCTATCAATATTTCCTAGCGAAAAAAGATGCCATTACTGCTTGATATCAGATTGCTCGAAGCGGGTATCAAACCTGGGATTGAAATCTTATAGTTCTAACCACTAATCCACGGGGGAGCCAAAATTTATACCGAAGCCAATGTTCATATTTCTAATAAATTTCTATTGCTATTTATTAATCGCAAACTAATAACAATAATAATTTATTATCGATTAAACTGCGTGAGAGTAATTTTTATTGGAATGTTATGATGGTTATGATGGTTTTTAAGTAATTCAAGGACGCTGATTCCGAAAAAAATAACAGAAGTTTGTTAACAGCTCTAGTTTTCGAGATATACTAATGGGCTAGTTTAATCTCAAATTACAATGAAATGTCTTTTTATATAATTTTTGAGCATGCACAAGGCCTGTCTGATTTCGTAAGCTCCAACATTTATCAGCAATCATGTGGACGTCCCACCTTCCTTTATATCGCTTCTCCAAAGTCCTGATGTTTTGGTGGATTCTCTCGCCTGAGTCCCTAGTTTTCTTCACGATTGTATTTATAGAATTTCCGAATCGTGGATTTTTTATGAGTTGCCTAATTTGGGGATCATCGAATTTATCAGTTTTAAACTCTCCCTGTCTTCTCTTTTAGTATCGAGTTCTTAATTCATCACATGGTAGGCGTGTTTTGATGTTGATGATCATTAGCATGAATAGGGGTCGTCTAGCTGATTGTAGGTATAGACCCCAACACCATTGTGGTCATGGGTATGGCCATTTGCTTCTATTGCTTGAATTTATTCCATTGATATTTACCACAAAGAAGAAACAGTTGTCGTGGTGATTCTGAGTTTTTTTTTTGTAAATTACGACGGTATTAAAATTATAGCATTTCTTTATTACTTTCGGATAATAAAGTAAACACACAACGCAATTTTGGCACGTTGTATGAAGAAGCCATGTTTTATCATAGATTGCGGAATTAATGCAATCGCGGAAGTGTTTGAAATACGCTGTTTTTATGCACTTTGGCATTGGATTTCGGTATTTGTCAAAAACATATTCATCACAGATGTATTAAAAACTTTCTATCTGGATTATGCACACAACAACTCTTAGAGTCAGAGCCATACTAAAAACAGCAGATAGAACACTTGGTTCTTCGTTAAATTGTGACAATCGTAGTCGAAATGACTAATTGGGATAGTTTAAAACTCAAAAACAGAAGGTAAATTTAAAGTCAGCGTACAATTTGAAGTGGATTTAAAAATAAGCCGAAGGAAAAAATCGAAGGTGCCATTTTTGTCACGCAGTGCAATTGCTTCTATCAAACTATGCTCTACCAATTTATACTGTGCATAGTAGTTCGGATGTTTCGCATTAGCCAGGTTCTGCATCACCCATTGTTTGTCGATTTTAACTTGAATTCCTAATACGTTAAATGCATTTTATAAAAGGTATGCAACATATGTATGTATATATTAATATTTATTTTATTTAATTATGTATCCCGCGATAATCCGGCCTCGCGGTATATCGAGGACGTCGTGTGGTTCTCTTCATTCGTACGAGACATCCGTTTACCGACATGATCGCAAAACTAATACATTTAGCAACTTTGAAAAAACAGACCTGGCTCGATTACGTCAAGTGGACGACGTGCTTTGCTATATTGTAAAATTCAGTTTCAAATACGATCGAGATATATCGAAATTATATGCCATGTGTTCGGAATATATTATATCTAAACGTCTTGAAACTGGTGGTCTTCACGATTACGAAATGTATCTGATAGTCCTTATGTCAATTGTGCTAAGAGAAACCTCTACTTTATAATATGACTATTTTTTATATCAATCATTTTATACATTAGAACACATTAATAACTACATACTCGGTAAAAGAACTAACATTTTTTGCTAATTTGTTATAAAATTACTTGTCCAGTTGTTGAGTTCTTTTTAAAATATTTATATATTCTAAATTTATATTGAAATTTTTAAACAGAAATTTTACATATTTACCATCCAAATAACACTAATCTACATTTTAAATATAAAATGAAAAGTTGTTTTTCTTGATAGCAGTTAGAAAATAATTAGTTAATTTAATGCACGATGTCATTGAATTATTTGTGGGAAAATTAATCACTATAGCTCTTTCATACTATAAATGAGTTACCCGGAGTTACTTATTGTGCATAAGATTTAGAGAATCAATAATTTTACTAAAATTTCAACAGCCTAATAAAAAAGAAGTTTTTCGGGTTCGTCATTGATTTCTTCGGAGTTTCATTTCACGGAATGCTTTTTGCCTCTCTTAACTTTTTAATAATACATTTTCCTTTTTCATTAAAAATTTGTATACTATCGCGTAGCAATATAATGTCGCAGCTAAATTTTATGTTTTTATAAATCAATTCTTTCTCTATTTATTATATTGATGCTTATTAGAGATGCTGCCATCAAATCACCGATCAACCGATCATTTTTGTAAAAAAATATCTAGTATACATATATCCGCGATCGTATTATCATTTTTTCTTGAATATTTGTAGTATTTATTATGTTGCTCACGATTATGCTCTTTTTATAAAATTGATCCAATAGATGCAATTTATTTTTGAGCGTGTTTTGAGCCTGAGTACGCATTTACGAAAGATTACGAAAGTTTATATTATAATATATATTATATATTACGAAAGTATATATTAAAATGAAATGTTGTTTTTCTTTATCTCAGTTAGAAAAAAAATAGTTAATTTAATGCTCTTTTATACTATATTGAGTTACCCGGAGTTTACTTACTATAAATTAGATTTAGAGAATCAATAATTTTACTAAAAAATTTCTACAGCCTAACAAAAAAGAAGCTTTTCGGGTTCGCCGTTGATTACTTCAGAGTTTCATTTAACGGAATGCTTTTTACTTTTCAACTTTTAATCCTTTTACATTAAAAATACTATCGCGTAGCAATATGATGCTGCAGCTAAATTTTATGTTTTTATAAATCAATTCTTACTTTATTTATTGGATTGATGCTCATTAGAAATGTTGCCATCAAATCTCCGATCACCTCATTAAAATGATAAATCAATATTTTTTTGCTTGCAGGATTACGTACATCTGCATTCTTGTATATTTTTATTCTTTATTGAATATTTGTTGTATTTATTATGTTGCTCAAAGAGCACAGTCTCTTTGTATAAAATCCAATTGATCTAATTTATTTTTGATCGTGTTTTAATACCGAGTACGGATTTATAAAAAGATTACGAAGACATCCACGACCTTCTAATTCTGTGTTATCAATTGCGTTCGATTTTGTAACTTATAATTATAAATTTTACAATTTCAAATGCAATCTTACCATCTGAGTTGGGAAGAGGTTGCTGGGGTTGAGATTAGAATTCTCCATCAGACAGTTGATATAGGTGAGGATCAAAGATTCTCTTGTGTGTCTTTGTTGGAAAGAATCCACCTGGATGTGGTTTAGAGCACAGGCATGTACTTTGTTACCGTAGCATTCATTTGGACCATGATGACATTCGAATTCTACGTCTGATCCGCGCGTCTGGTGCTGGAAACATCATAATATATTTTTATTCATGATAGTAAATAAATTTTGCTATGTCTTAAAATACCATTGGCATTACAAGGATATAAATAGTTTATTTAAAAATTTATTATTTGTATATTAATTGGAGCTTACCGTAGATTTTCCATAAGGAATTAAGTTCAAGCGTACGCTGTTCTTGAGTGAGTTCTGAAGAGATGGATAAAGTTGGGTGTTGATGAATTTTTTGCTGTCAGGGCACAAAGACTCGTAGTACACGTCCACATTTACCTGAAATTAATAATTTTTAAATTAGTTTTATTGGTTTCATCATTATTAATTATTAATATTAATAAAATATTTAGAAAGAATACGCTTTCTAATTAAATACCGCGTCTTTTAGAAAATCTTGATCGAATATTGAATAAATTTAAGGTTTGTTTGAAAAGCACCGATTCGTCATTGCGTTGATTACATTTTATTAAATCCAATCATGCCATTTTTTCGCAGTTAACAATAAAAAGAAATTTTTGTAACACTTTTTTAAAACTTCTTGTTATTGCCTAACTCGATATAGGTAACTTCATACAACCTTCCATAAAGCCAAGCCTCTACATAGGGGTAAGTCCCGTAACGGCGGACGGCACCTAGCGCCGGACACTCTATTTAATACGTATTATTTAAGTGAGTATAAATCTTCTTATTTCAAACAGTAAACATTGATATTTCTTGTGAGAATTGACGTAATTTATTCTAATTATTTAATTTTGTTCCGTATGAGTGCTAACGGTCACTACTTATCCCCATTTTTCGTTTTTCCTAGTCAAAGAATGAAACGCTTATGATGAATGCTTTAGCTGAGAGCATCGGTGCGGCCCAGCCACAATGGTGGATGAATAGTGATTTTTTTTGCAATATCTAAGAATATTCGTCAAACACACATGTGCAGACATGCCAGAGTGTGGAGATGGCTACATATGTGTTCAATGCGGGTTAATTTGAATTGTCCGGTACTAGGTGCCACTTTTTAAAATCATATTTTTTGTTACCAAAGTTTGATTGATAGTATTAATTATTTTTCAGCAAAGGTTACGTTTTTGTTAATTTGGTTTGATTTCTACCTTTGTTATCTAACATTAGTCATAATTTAATTAACATTTCGTAAAACATTTTTTGATTTATTTATAAATAACCTTACGTGTCCGCCACTCGGGGACTTCTCTCTACACCTAGCAACTAATTATAATTTCCTAGAGCAAATTCAACTTCAGAAGCATACATATGATTTAATAACAATATTGGATGATTAAAATGATTTGATATCGATCATTATTTCCTCATTGACCAAGCGTGGTCCGTGGCGTGTATTAATCCGAAATCAAACTATTGGAATATATATCCAGTCGATTGCCTCGCCTATAACAACGCAAACGGGTCATTAAAGTCAGGCTTCTGGAAAATAACGAGCGAATTCTCTCTGGATCTAATTTATAAAATAGTAATAGTTCTGCTATAACAATGCTGAAATATTGGCACATGTATTTGTTGTTGGGAACAATGATAATCCAGGCATTTATATAAATTATTTAGGACAATATTTTCAGATTAAAACAATAAATTTATATGAGTTGTGAATAACAACTTTCAGAATGATGACATGCAGGAGTTGTTTATTTTAGTGCCTGACTTGCAAACAAATATTTGTCTTCAAACACTTCTAATTTGGTAGTTTTTGTTTATTATTATTTGAACAATACAAACTAAATTTCTGTAATAATGATGAATTTTTTATTGGTGCAGCCGACAAAGGGTTATTTTTACTTGACAACATATTGCTATCTATATTTCCAAGTAAAAACCTATGTCACTACTGCTCGACATCAGGTTGCTCTGCCCAGTATAGAACCTGGAACTACTAATTGAAATCTCATACTAACTATTCGGTTGTTTTTAAAGTTGAATCATTCAAAAGTAAACCATTTCTATAATTTGTCGATTTATTTTACGGAAAATTAAAAATCGATAAATGTTTCTACGGTGAAGTTGATAAATATAAAATACCCATGTAGTTGCAAAATGATATTTCCAAATTAGTTTCGATCTGACTGACTTTTTTGATCAGTATTAGTCGTAAAAATGATGTTTGGAATTTCTGTTTAACTTATTAGTTTTCAAGCTTGATATAGTTCAATGAAAAAAATAAACTAAAAAACTTCAACAAGAACACTGAATATTAGGTCACTTATTGTTAGTTAGATATATAATATTTCTTCATAAGAATTAATTTTTGTATGTTTGAATGATAGTGAATTCTGAAATTTACCAAATATTGGAAGATAATAGTCAAACAGCTTCAATATTATTTGTACCCTCGTTTCGAGAACTATCTCAACTTAAATTTTTTTAAGTTTTTGAAAAAAACACTATTGGGTAGTTAAAAATTGTGGATAATTTATGAAATGTTGTTTCATACAGTTGTCAAAATTCATATTTTTATCATGTGTGGTTATGCTGAATATATTTTTTTATGAGTTCAAATTAGAACAAGAAGACGGTTGATTATATAACATAACATCAAACTCATATTCAAATTTGAATTTATGTTATTGATTTTAAATTAACACTAAGTAAGCTTAGTTAGTGGCTACCTCTTTTAAACATAAATTTTAATATTAATAGAGTCACAGTGTTTGAACAATATTTAGAAGAGCAGAATTTAATCATAGCGCTACAATCACTTCCCCCATCTTATCAAATTTTGCTCGAGTAAAGTTTATCATTTTTTTAAAAATGAAATAATTATTTTCTTAATGGTTTTGTTACAAATTTTATATTTATTAAATTAATATTGGGTCAAGCTGTCTGACAACGACATGTGTGTTCTTGGAAAATATATTTGATAACAATAAAATATTTATAAGCATGCATATGCAAGTATTTATTAAAAACTCTGTTTCTATAATGAGTTAGAGAAGACTGATTGCCATTTATGAAAGACAAATTTTTATTAAATCTATGCAAATCACAAGCACGCGATTTAAGTTGAAATCACTTTGACAAATCTAGCGGTATCAACGACAATGACATCAATAACATGTGCTTTAGTGTTTTTATTGTTTTTTTTATGTCATTTGATAGAATCGTGCGAAATTGCTACTTTCCACAAGGACGGATTCATCATTAGAATTCCGTAAAAGACATTGTTGCAAAATTTAAAATTAATCACATCTGAAATTACCGCGACCTCGATTTTTGACTCTCTCTAACTATAATGGAAATCTTGGGAGGAAAATTTTCAATAGTGACTGCGTGTTGTAGCATCACTAGTGGAAATAATTTAAAACGACACTAAAATATGCAAGCTGGGATGATATTTCGATTAGAAACTTCATGACATTATTTAAATATTTTTCCGATATACTCATAGGGGGTAGATGATATTATATCGATATGTTTGATATGATATTAGATTTATATGAATTAGTGTGGTAAGGTTTTACCTATTTAGTTAATATACCCTTACTGGTAGAATTGGAAAAGCTGTTGCATTTGCCTTATCCGATTAAGAACTTAGTAAACAATTACTTTAATATTTAAAAAAATATAATTGACCGACTTAACGCAATTCACGATCTTATTATTTACATAATGCATAGTAAATAATACAGCAACGTTTTATCATTACAAACAAATAACTTCTTGATGTTTGCTAAGGTAACCTAGTTAACTTTTTCGAGAATTTGTATGACTTACTACTAACCCAATGTTTGTAGAAGAGCTGATGTGTTTGTTATGTTAACATATGTATTGTATAGATGCATATCACGTTTCTATTTTCAAATACTCTAATCTAAATGTTTAATAAACCAAATATTCTGAAAAACTATTGAGATCATAGACATTTCAAAACGTCTTTTTTGAAAAGTTGAAATTTATAGATATGTTTTATATTTGAGCAGCTATCTGAACTACTATCATGTAATGCTCTAGTCTAGGATTATTAGAAAGAAACTTAATGGTTGATCACTATTTTTCTATTGAAATTATTATTAGATTTTTTCCTAAGAGTAATGTAATATTTTGCAGAAATGTCCTGAAAGGCTATTTTCACTTGTGATCATATTCAAGAAATACAATTTCAAGTGAAAACTGTTTTCACTACTGCTTGGTATCAAGTTGAGTCAAAGAGGGTATCCAAACTTGGAACCTGTGCAAAGCCAAGCTCATATCACGTAGCCACGGAAAGCTCAAATTACAGGTATGAGAATTATTTTTTTATTTGTTCCGAAATTCGAAGAGGAAATTTATATTTTAATAAAGTAAAATTTAAGAAATAATACATGACAAAAACATCTTCATTTAGCAAAAAAAAATCCGCTTCGAAGAAAAATATGTTTTCAAAAATACTTAAAGTTTTATCGGTTTTCCTTATTTTTTTCTATAAAATACCGTAGAAACCCGCTTTAATACGATTACGATTATTCTGAAATTCGAAAAGTAAATTTATATTTAAATAAAGGAAAATTGAAGGAATATAACTTGACAAAATCATCCTCATTTAGTTTAAAAATCCATTTCATGAGAACATGAACCTTGACTAAATTGTGATCACAGTAAAAGTTTCACTTCAGAACAAAAATTGTTTCTAAAAAAATACCGTTTTTTTCCTTTTTTACCAATGGAATACACGATCATAAATGATGCGATTATTCTGAAATTTGAAGAGTAAAATTTAGATTAGGAAATGATAGAACATTGAGAATATAGAACTTGACAAATACATACTCATTTAGCAAAAAGAAATTATTTTTTTATCGTTGTTTTATAACTTTTGGAATACATTAGAACCCTGTTAAAACGATCATTCTTAATACGATTATTCTAAAACTCGAAGAGTAACTTTATATTTAAAGAAAAATTGAAGAAATAGAATGATGAGAATATAAAACATGACAAAAAGCAAAAAAAAAATCCACGACGAAGAAAAATGTTTTCTTGGTAGAAAATAAATGAGGAAGTAGAATATGACAAAAACATCTTCATTTAGCAAAAGAAAATGAAGCTTTCATCGTTCTTTCTTCATTTTTTTACCTATGGAATGCAGCAGAACCCCTTTAAGACGATTTTTAGTATAATAGACCACTTCACCCTGCATTTTATATATGTTGTTTCTATCTAGCATAACACGCCTCTCCCTTAAGATGCGTATGTGGTCATCAGGAAATTGTGACTTAATAGGAGCTTTACTGTACTTGCAAAGTGTACCTACTCTTTTTAGAAAAAAAAATAGT